GCGTATAGAACGTATTCGCGAGCTATCTTATGTAATGTCAAATCTAGCTCGTTACACTCTCTTGGTGCTAAGAATTGTGTCCCACAATTCTCTTAAAATAAACTTCTAATCTCTTCCAATTTGAATTTGATGTGTGAAGTTGCTTGATATAAATGTATGATAATGTATGATAATAAAATATAGTTGTTGAAACTTCTTGCATGACTTAAAGTATAAAAATGTGTCAGCATCATTGATAATAGTATTGAATAATGATATAGAGTATGTTGAATCTCTTGATAAGTTGATATAAGAATGATCTTGAGCAATCATACATGAATAATATAAAAATGTGATGATTGTTATTCCTCATGATCTTGATAGAAAAATAATTTGATATACAAATTGAGTATGATATGATATCATGGGATAATTGGTGATAATTTCAGTTATAACTGATTAGAATAATCTAACCAAACTATAAGGACCTTGGAGTACCGGTACTAGCTTTAAATAATTTGTAGAGTTTAAAACATTTGAATTTATAGCGAGTATGTTACCCCCGACCTTAAAAGACACGTCCCGGTGTCTGTCCTTATTAAGTTGAGACATGGGATCTGATGATCTAATTAACCGATATAACAATAATTGATTGATAATTGACAGATTTGGCACCATTGTTTCTGTACGAATATGTACTAATGACTTATTTGAATCAAATTCAGCATTAACTGCATTAATATTTGTATTATTTGATGGATTTTCAGTGATGACAACCGGTTTTATCGTAAATTTTGATGTAGGATAACCATTTTCTCCTGGATTGATATTAACGAAGAAACTTTCTGATAACCTAGGCACAATTATAGCAAAATTAGCTTGTGGTTTTACTTCTGGACTTCTAGGATTATCATCTGAAGGAGGGTTAAAACCTCTCTTGTTGATAACACCACCTAAAAACTCTAATTCACGGTTAAATGAATTATTTTCATCTTCTTTATCAATAATTTGTTTGTTTTGTAATGCACCTAAAACTTCTGGGACATTTACCGAATGATTCTGGGACCTAGGGATGTATAATATAACGTCATCTGCATAGATTTGTACTAATCTTGCATTATAACCCTTGGAATTTTGACTTTTGATCACATTTTCTTCTTCAATGCCTGCAGATTCTAAGCATAATCTCTTATCGTTCGATGATTTATGCAAAACTATTTGTTTATCAGCGTCGGGTGCATGTGAATCTCGTAAAACAACTTGTTTATCATCTTTAGTAGCATCAAAATCGACTGAATTTGGTAATTTGTCGACCCTTTGATGATTAAATGACGTATTGTCGTCCATGGATAATTTTCTTTTAAGTAAGAATGGTGTTTTATCTGGATCTTTATTCTTTGAAACCTGATCATTAGTGGTTTTATCATTTATAACCTTTAATCTATCTTGATTAACTTCAGCAGAATTCTTTAATTGTAGTTTGTGTTGTTTTGTTTCAGACACACTTAGCATAACTGGACTTGTAATAGTATGTGGTCTTCTTTTGACCTTGTGATGTTCTTTACTGCTTTTTTCTTTTATTTCTAATTTTTTAACATCTTTTGGTGACTCAGTGGGATTAGTTCTTATTGAAAACAACGCTTCTTGTTCCCATTCAGGTTCTGAAACCTCTTCTGGTTTACCCCAGTCAATATATCTGGCAAATTTTTTGACAAAATTAATACCTAAATAGAATTCTTTTCTTAATTTGGGGACAACATAGGCTTGAACCGTTAAATCTAACTTGATTTTACCGAAATCTATTCTTAACGGTAATTGTACACCTTTATTTGCAGTAACTGTCTTATTACCTGCAGCCAACCTAATAGTAACATCCTTGGTATCCTTAATACGATCTTCGAACTTAATATCTTTAACGAGACCTTCGCCTATAAAGCAACTTGTAGCACCCGTATCAATCAGGGCTTTTAAAATAGTTTTGGAACCTAGTACTTGGGCTTTTAATTCAATTGCATCAGCATTATCTACTTCTAGTAGACCTTCTTTGGATTGAATAGTCTCTTTTGTTGATATGTACTTAATACTGAGACATTCTTCGGTTTCTGATTCTTCTGATTCTTCTGATAATTGTTGATCTGATACTGATTCAGGTTCACTTTCAGTGTAGTATGATGAGAATCCTTCTTGATCTGAATCTTCTAATTCCGATTTTTCTAATTCCGACTCTGATTCCTTTTCAGAGTTATTTTCTAATTTGAATAATCTTTCTTCTTTATATACCTCATTATTGCGCTTAGAAGAGGATTCTTTCTCTAAGCTTCTCCATTTTTTGACTTGTTTTGATTAAATGAACGTCTTGAATGATACTTCTTGTTCTTATTGTACTTTTTGTACTTTGGTTTGACATCTAAAGCGTCCAAATCCATTCTATCAGCTGGGTGATCATTATGACCAGCATTATTGAACCTATTGTAAGTATTAGGGGAATCATAATTATTATATTTTGAAGGTTCATAGTTTCTTAAATGATTTCTTTTCCCTTTTAATTTGATATCGTCAAAAGTTAAAGCTAATTTGAAGGCTTCATTCAAATCCATAACGTTCTTTGCTCTGAGTTCAAACTCAATATCATCTTTAAGACCATCTAAGAAGAATTCTAACAGAATCTCTTCATTATTAAAAGTATCTGGAAGTAGAGCAACTAATGAATTGAAATATCTAATGTATTTTTCAGCAGAACCTTCTTGACGAATATTTTTAATTTTCTTTCTTGCCTCTAATTGAGAATTCATTGGCAAGAATCTACCTTTAAATTCCTTAATAACAGCATCAAAAGACCAATTTTCATAGTCATTCCCAACCAAATTGTTAAACCAAATTTGAGCTTCACCAATTAACTTAGCACCTAATAGCATAATTTTCTTCGAATCGGAAGTGACACGACTAATATCAAATGATAAGTTCAAACTTGAAAGGAATGACATAACTGTTGTTGAGTCTCTTTTACCATAAAATGTTGGAATTTTGACAGTGGAAGCGACTAAATTTTGACCACTATTGACGGATTGGGCATGAGTATTTACCATCTCAACAGAGCGAACCATTTGCGCAGTCATTTCTTGAACCATTTGGTTTAATTCTCTTTGATTTTGAATTTGATTTTCAGCTAACGCTTGAGACAATTGAGCAATAATTTGTTCCATGATTCTAATTGATAATTAAGCAAAACTTGAAGATAATATAATATAACAATTGTAAATGACTTTATAAATGACTGGAGGCGCTACCAAGTGTAACGGATCGAGCTCTCTCTG